TGATTTTAAACCAAAACCTTAATTCAAAAGCTCCCAAAACAAGATTGTTTTATAAAAATAAATAGCTAAGTTAAAAATCATAAAAGAGTGTAGTGGATCCTTACCTTAAAGCTAGAAGACGAGATAAACACGGATGAAGCCGAAACTCAACTCTATTCGAATGAAAACAAAGCTCTGGGTGAGCTCTACTTTTTTAGCAAAGGGAGTAGGGTAGAGAAATCAATAGATCTAGGAGTATTTGTAGAGAGAATGTGAGTTTTAGAGAGAGAGAAAGAGAGAGAGAGTCCATATTTAGGTTTTTAAAATGTTTAGAGAGAGAGAGAAATGAAAAAGTGATGTAAAAAGTCATTTTTACGGACTAATATATGCGCAATCCGTACAAGCACAAGATGTGACTCTCGAGCGTCAGACACAATGATGTAACCACTCGAGTGCAAGAAGATGATGCTTCGAGCTTGAAATACAAACTCCTAGTACTTTTACAGATAGAAGACCAACGCTCGAGCGCAATAAGGGCTGCTCGAGCCAAGACAACTCGAGTGCAAGAAGTTCTACTCGAGCGTAGAACACCACTTCCCAGTACTTTTGCAGACCTGCAAAAGTACTAAGAGTTCACAAAGACCGCTCGAGCGCAAGAAGTGACGCTCGAATGTAGAACCAAAATTCTGGACAACAAGATTTTTGAAAAACAAGGTACCATAATGTCCCAAACGCAACCAACGCAACCTGAAAGCCAAACTCAAAAGAAGTATAAGGGAAATAAGACATAAATGACTATACAAGGCAATGAAACCCGGATCCAAAACATCAAATGGTTCGGGTCCAAACCAGAATCGCTATATTTAGTCTGTAATCAGAATGGACAGTACTATTGGGCCGTGATGAGCCCAATTCTAGGTCCATTTCAATTATCCAAACTATTGCATATATAGAACTTGTCGAGCACATCATTCCTATAAAAAATCACGTTGATCAGATATTGATAGTCATTTGATCAATTTGTATTTGTTTCAACGACAATTATAATTTTTAAAGTAAATCGTAGACACAAATACAAGCTAATCAAATAGCTATTGATATCTGATTAATATGATTTTTTACAGGAATAATATACTCGACGAACTTTGAACATTAATTAGTTTAGATCATCGAGATGGGTCTAACATTGGGCCCAATGTAGCTTAATAGAGCTATCCAATTCCTATCCAAACTAAAAAGGACTTGAACCCTTTCCTAAATTAAGATTGGTACCATTTTTTTTAATAATCTATATATTATATTAGTAAAAGAAACTTTTTAGTGAGGAGCCTTATGAGAGTTTCAATATCTCATACTAATTTTCTTAATTTTTTTAATTTTAAACAATTAAGAAAATCTTTATTAGCTAGCTGTCATTTAACCATATAAAAATAAAATTCTAATTAGTCTATGATTTATCTGACAATCCCATATCAGGAGAAGAAGGAAAAAGTGAGTTATTTTACTTATATAAAGTAAATCTTATACTCCCATTTAATATTATAATGTTGTGCATGTTTCAATTCAATATAATTTAAATTTAAAATACAATTTAAAAGTTTTAATTAATTAATTTTTGTGTAAGTTGGTTGGTCTTTTGACCTAGCCAATTAGGTTGACTCATTTTTAATTTGACCGTGATTTTATCAAAATATATTGATTAGATTTGTTTAATTCGAAATAAACTAAAAATTGATCTGATTAAAGATTGAATGAACGACTGAGATTGCTTGATTAGAAATAAAATTCCTACCCAAATAATTTTTAACTTCTATTTTATAATCCCACATCGAAAAAAGAAGAAAAAAATGATTATATAAAGTGAATCTTAATATTGTAGTATTGTGCATGTTTCAATTTAAGACAGTTTAAATTTTAAAATTAAAATAACATTTAAAAGTTTTCATTAATTAATTTTTGTATAAGTTGGTTGATCATTTGACCTAATCGACTAGGCTGAATTATTTTCGATTTGACTTGGTTTAACCGCGATTTCTCATTCTATTTTTTTTTTAAATTTTAAACAATTAAAAAAATTTCCATTAGTTAGCTTCAATTTAACCATATAAAAATAAAACTCTAATTAGTTTATGATTTATTTTATAATCCCAATCGGAAGAAAAATGAAAAAGTGAGTTATTTCACTTATATAAAGTAAATCTTATACTCTCATTTAATATTGTAGTGTTGTGCATAGTTCAGTTTAAGATAGTTTAAATTTTAAAATAAAAACTCTAATTAGTCTATGATATGATTTATTTTCTCACATTGGGAGAAAACCGAAAAAGTGAGTTATTTTACTTATATAAATTGAATCTTATACTCCCACTTAATATTGTAGTGTTGTGTATATTTCAGTTCAAAATAGTTTAAATTTTAAAATAAAATTTGAAAGTTTTAATTAATTAATTTTTGTATAAGTTAGTTGGTCTTTTGACCTAGTCGATTAGGCTGAATCATTTTTGGTTTGATTGATTCGCTGGTTTAATTGCAATTTTAGCAGTTTCATCAAAATATATTGGTTAAATTTGTTTGATTCGTAATAAACTAAAGATTGACCTAATTGAAGATTGAATGATTGATTGTTTTATTAAAAATAAACTTCTCGTCCAAACAATTGTTAACTTTTATTTTACAATCCCACATCGAGAAAAAAAATAAAAAAGTGAGTTATTTCACTTATATAAAATGTACATTATGTTCCTATTTAATACTATAGTGTTGTGCATACTTCACCTCAAAACAGTTTTAAATTTTAAAATCAAAATAATATTTAAAAGTTTTAATTAATTAATTTTTATATAAGTTTGTTGGTTTTTGACCTAGTCAATTAGGCTGAATCATTTTCGGTTGACTGATTTGCTAGTTTAACCGCGATCTTAGTGGTTTTATCAAAATATATTTGTTAGATTTGTTTGATTCGAAATAAACTAAAGATTAACCTAATTAAAGATTAAATGACTGATATTGTTTGATTCGAAATAAACTTTTTCCCGAACAATTGTTAATTTTTATTTTACGCACTCCCATATTGAGAAAAGAAGGAAAAAGTAAGTTGTTTCAGTTATATAAAATAAACATATTCTCCTATTTAATTGTAGTATTGTGCATATTTTAGTTAAAAATAGTTTAAATTTTAAAATAAAGTAATTTTTTTTAATTTTTAATTAATTATTTTTTGTGTAGGTTGGTTGGTCTTTTGACCAATTTTAAAGATTTTATCTATATATATATTGTTTTATTTGTAAAATGTATGTTTAAGTTTTATGACAAACTTCAACATAGAATAAACTAAAACTAAAAAATGTATAAAATGAAATTTATTTTTATTTTATCATATATGTATATACATATTGATTTATTCTATTTTTTTCATATTTACCAATTAAATTATGACATCTATTTTTATTGTGAAGTTAAAATATATAATTAATTACATAACAACTGCAATATATATTCTAATAAAATGATTAAAATTTTATTCATTCTACATTATTTTTATATACTTTTTAAAGAATTTTATATTATTATTTAATTCAATTTTTTTTGATTATTTATTTAGCCCATGCATCAGATGAGTTCATATGTTAGTTAATATTACAAAGATATCTTCTTCTCATTTTTTTAAGAGTCGTTAATTCCACCTCATTTTGCTTTAAATATATTCTTTTCTTTGTCTTTATTATATATGAAAATGAATATATTTAGAATAAAGTGAAGTGAGAATAGTAACTATGAATATTAAAACAAATTAATTTATTAGTTTATTAGCTTATTTTGATCACATTGCCTCTTTACTTTTTTACACATTTAAAAAAAAAAAAAAACTAAGGCCTCTTTTGAAAACTAGATTAAAAGTCAACTTTTTGATTTTTTGACTTTTTTAAGTCACATTAACTCGGGAAATTATAAAATATTCCTGGAGTATCATCTGTCCGTATTCCTTAACCAATCATCATTTAATATGTCATCTCATATTGCTTAACCACTCAACATAATACCCCACTTACCTATCTTTTTTACCAATCACAGTATTATAAAATACCACATATTTATATTTCAAAATTATTGAATAATTATCCCATCAACTCTCTACTTTTATATTTAAAAAAAAAACTGAAAAAGTAATTTTTAACTTATTTTTTAAAAATATACTTAAAAAATTAACCTTTTTTTTTTACTTCTGTAAATAGGTAAGGGTTAAAAAAATATACTCCCTCCGTCCCAAAATAATAGTCCCTTTTGGGGAATCCAACTTTTTTTGGTAGTACAATTATTGCATTTGAAAAAAGTTAATTTTTCAAAATTACCCTTTTGATAGTACATTTTTTGGGAATATCAATGTCATAATTGTACTTTTTATATTGCTTATTAATTTAAAAGAAGGGCAAAATAGGAAATTTACATTATTTTTGTACTTGATTTTTGAAGAGGGACTAATATTTTGGGACAATAAAAAATAAAATAAGGAACTAATATTTTGAGACGGAGGGAGTATATATAAATAAAAGAGTGTAACAGCACCCTTTTTTTAAACCCTATAAAAAACTGAAAAAGTAATTTTTAACTTATTTTTTAAAAATATACTTAAAAAATTAACGTTTTTTTTACTTCTAGGTAAGGGTTCAAAAAAAATATATATATATAAATAAAAGAGTGTAGCAGCTCCCTTTTTTTAACAACAATGATTCATCCCACTAAAAATATCACCACTAATAACACTAATGTATTAAAAAAGTAAAAAAAAAAAAAAACACAACTCCAAAACCAAAACATCACATCATTAATGGCAGGACCCACACCCCGTCAACCACAATAATTTTTTCTTATTACAGTATTTTAATTTATGATAATTTGTGCAGTGTCGTGTTTGGATTGGACCCCGTCATCGAAAAGAAAACGAAGGGACAGACAGCATCGCACCAATCTAATTTCCGTGGCCCCACGCACACATTACTTGCTTTCCGCGGATTCCCATCTCCCTCGTCGTCTCCTTCTTCATCGCAATCTCCAAACAAAGAGCCCCCTCTTCTCTCTCTCTCACTAAGAAGAAGATCCAAACCCTACTAAATTTGCTGTGACGATCGCATACGTTGACTGCTGCTGATCATATACTCGTCTTAGTTCGTATCTCGCCGGTAATGGAGACTTGGAAGTCAGCCCGAGACGATTACCACTCTTTTTCTTCTTCCCAGAGAGATGTCACTTACAGGTTCTCTCTCCCTCTCTCTCTCTCTCTCTGTATTCATGTCTTTGATTGGTATGTATGTGGATACAAGTATCTATGGTTTGTATAAGAAATTTTAGTGAGATTGTTTGAAAGAATCTCAAATTTTGATATCTCAATTAGGTTATTTGTAGAACACTACTTTTCAGGCTTGTTTTTGTATGAGGCCTGTTTCAATTCAAGTGATGATTATTTACTCACTCTCTTTAATTTGTCAAATTAGGATTGTTTTGGGTATTCATATTTTTTTAGTTTTTAGTTTTTTTTTTTTTGTGTGGATATTTTACTAAAAGAGATATAAAAAAGTAGAGAGTTTTAACTTTCTTGCTAAAATAGTGAGTTGCCAAAATAGGCCTTAATCCCAAATGGGATTTTCAAAAGCTTCTTGTGGAAATGATGGGGATTAGATAGAAATACCACTTTAGCCCCTCTATTTTTGATTGTTACAGTTAACCCCTACAGTTGTGATCAAGGTGCAATTGGACCCAACCGTGGTCAGGTGCCTATTTTGACAAATTGCTGTGTCACATTCTAACTTGACCAGATGCTAAATGTAAATTAACCCTATATATAAAGTTGGATTGTGAAGTAAATTTTAGAGTTTTTAAGAATTGAATTATCATCACATTTGCAATGGATTTGGAACATCTTACAATTTTATTAAATTGTATGATTAACTAATTAATTCTTCTTGATTCAAATAATGCCAAGAGTGACCATATTTGGGTACCATTTGATATGACATCTTGCATGACGCTAACCATGTGTGATGTGGTTAGTGTTATGTAAGACTTCACTGCAGATCATACTTAAATGTGATCGCCCTGGCCTTGCTCTTCTTCATAATAAGACTAGTAATAAAGTTTATGCAGTCAAACAGAGGAGTAGAAAATGTGAACATTATTGTCCGGGACTAATTTATATCCTGAATCCCTTGTGCTTGTGAATGAAATATTATATGTAAACTCCCAGACATGCCCAAATTTGTCTTATTTTTTGGTTCATTTTTTAATTTTCTTAAAATCGGCCAAAACATTGAATTGATATTAGGACTTTTTGTTCACTTTTTCAAAATGTAGACTGTGGAAAATGATTTCTTAATAAATTATGAATGTATTTGTATTTGTAATGTAAGAATCAAGTACTTATTTTTTTCATGTATAAAAAAAATTCCGAATACTAAAGTAATGTTTCAGAAATTACCACCAAACGAACACCCCAAGATTGATGAATTGGTACCAACTGATTAAAGCTACAACCAAATAGGGCTTGATCTTCGTGTTTTTCTTTTCCTTCTCCCTCACATTTTTGTCATCTGAAATTGTTAAATCCATAAAAGGAAAATGCAGTTTTGATTTTTTTTTTTTTCAATAAGTAAAATTTATTGAAAAAGAGGCACCAAAGGGGTGCACAACTCATATGTAGAAGGTGTATAACAATTATGCATCACAAACCATATCAAAAAGGCTTTACAAAATCCAAAAATTGATCCGAGGAAGAATTATACCCCCTCCGTGGACCAACTATACAAAAATGACTAAAGAATTCTCTTCAATTTAGAAATACATCTCTCAACACCATCAACAGATCCCCTATTTTGGTCACCCCAAAGTACCCACAACAACGCTAATGGGGCCAAACCCCAAATCTGTCTCCTCTGCTTACCCACCTGGCCTCTTAACCAAGAACAAAGAAGATCCCTCATCTTCTTAGGTAGCACCTGATAAAACGCCAAACATATAGAGGACTAACGACCATAACTCTCATAGCACCTCACAGTGAAGAAGTGGTCTGCCGTCTCCTTATCATGCTTGTGCACACATCACCAATTGACATGCACTTGCCTTCTAATCAAATTAATCGTAAAACTAATTCATTCCTACTATAATTTGGTGCTCTAGTGACTTTATTTTTGGGCTGAGAACTTGTTTGTTGAAGTGCTATGCTTTGACATAGGGGAATGGTATTATTTCACTGGAAAACAAGATAATGTTCTAAATTGGAGCTCAAAAAACATTAGCACTTTTATTTCTTTACAAAATTTTTACACCCATTGCTAATTTTTCGTTAGTTTTGTTGTCTTTGTTTGGACATGAATTTACTACTGCTTCCTAACCAACTGCAGATATGGGAGCATTTGAATGCATTTCTTTGTGTGAGGCATGTTGGTCAAGTAACTTATTTAATTTTAAATAAAAAAGATAGATAATGGATTGATGCCATTTTCATATTTTGAAATCAATATTTTCAAATAAGTGTTAAGAATAATGAACCTAGTGCTGTGCTAAATTGTGGATTTTACACAAAGGATGTAGGCAACAGTACTTCTCACCTGTCTCATTCATTTCAGAAGTAAATGTCTATCATTCTCTCTCCCACGGTGTTGAGAGTTCAGAAAACTGAAACCAAACGCACTGAATAGTAGTTTTTTTTATATTAATTAGCTGGTATCTCTGTTATCAGAATCTTACGATTCGCGATTCGATACGCAATTTTTGCAAAATCGATACGAATATATGAGTGAATCTATTTTGGAAGTGAATCTCTACTGAATCACACGATTCACAATCGATTCACGATTCGATTCACTTTTTACGATTCATGCAATTTTTGAAATTATTGTGTTCGATATATTTTCAACTCATTTTTTCCGTCTTTTTAGTGAAAATGACATAATACAACTTCTAATAGCATTTAATACCAAAATAACCAACATATATATATGATTTGTTATTATTTTAGTGATTATGGAGTTTTTTATAGGATCCAATCAGATTCAGTCAGACCTAACATATTTTTAACATTTCTTTTCATTTTTTCCCCTTTAAAAAATTGTAATATATCTTCTAAAGATGTTTAAGATTAAAGTTACACTATGAATTATCTATTACTATTTTATTAAATTGAATATTACATGTGTAAGGTTAATTATACCTTTTAAAATGTTTTTAGGCTTTAAAATAAAATATCCTAAATAATTCTTTCTTATTATTTGCTCACTCTTACTTAAAAAAGTATATATGCTTATTGTCCAAATATCAATATCGTTGTTAACTATTGTTACTTTAGAAATTAATAGTTTGTCTATTTGGTTATTATCTTTATTAAGAATGGTTGATACAAAATATCTAAAAAAAAAAAAAAAAAAAAAAGAGTAAGATGGTGATTTTATATAGGAACCTTTGTTAACTTCTTACCTATTAAATTACGTGATTATCATTCAAAATAACATTTTTATTGATTTAAGTTTAAATATTTTATATTCATAAGATATATTTAACATCTAAATGTGTAGATATATGTTTTTAAGTAATTTAGAAAAAGTGACCGAATCTTTACGATTCACAATTCGATTCGATTCGCGATTCGGTACGAGGCCATTTCGATTCAGGATACGAATCCCGATTTGACAACTATGGCTGGTACTGAAAGCATTTCCCTTTGGCAGATTGGCCACATTTATGTTTTGTTGGATATGCTACTAACATCAATTGAATTTATTCAAATGGTTACTAAGCCAAAAAAAAAAAAAGATTCAATTGATCAAGGGATTAATTATTTTGTGTGAGCTGGATAAATTAATTGGGATAATTTATTTCTTTTTGGGTGGGGGGCTAGTATCGTGAATCTGGGCATATAGTACAAGGGTAAACGAATTTATGATTTAATCAACATTCCATTTTTACCCTCAACACATGGGTTTATTTACCCTCTTGATGGAGCCATGATATAAGCATATTTAAGAAAAAACCATTTATTTCACAAATATGAAATTAGAAAACCTAATTTTGGATTGGTTTAACGTAGTCCAGCCCTCATCCAAACACCAGATTATTTTTTCTTTGTTTTTATTATTTTATTTTATTTTTCACCCTAGAGTGGATATATTTGCATTATTCATCCAATTGGTCCTAATTTATCCAGCTACCAGACAGTATATAGTGATATATGCAGCTAATATATTAAATGTTATAATGAACAGAGCCAAACTCATATCAAATGAGGAATAAAATGATTGACTTGCATGTAGATTCTTACATCCCATTTTCCCAATTCCTTCAAATCATGTGTGTGTTTTTTTTTAATCATTATTTTAGCAGTATCAAACCATGAGAGTGGCTTCTTTATACTTGCAATTACAAAATTTCTCTTCTCCACACAGCTGTGGTTCTTGTGGATACGAGTTAAACCTGAACTCCTCTAGTCGGAATACATCTACCATTGGCTCCAAATATGGTAAATCCATGAAGAGTGGGATCATATCATTCTTCAACGTTGATGAGAGTAGATTTACTCAAGTAGAAGAATTCCAATGCATACCGTACATTTCCAAGAAATCTTGGGGTTTGTTTCGCAGGAGAACAAAACTTCTATGCAGGAAGTGTGGTAACCATGTTGGAATTGCTTATGATGATCGTGATTCATCATACCCAGTTGTATCGGATGGATCAGATTCAGCCTCCGGCAGTGAAATCTCCAGCCGTAGAAAAAAATATGATGTTCGGATCCGTGCTTTACAACCTTCCTCATCTGAAGAAGTTGGTGTTTCGCTTGCTGTGTAATGTACAGGAACAAAGATTCTTTTGTATATTAGTGTCCAGTAAAGAATTTGGTATTTCACTTGATCATTGAATAGGATCCTCCAAATGGGAAGTGCGATTGAGATGCTATTTATACAATGGATGTTAGAATTCTTTTTGTTTTTGTTTTTTGTTAGGCAAATATGGGAATGAAAGAGAGGATCTGCTAGGGGTGTGTTTGTGCACAGATGTTGTCAAGTTGCTTTGTTTCGCTTTGTTCTCTCTTTCTCAGTTGGCTTGGGTGTGAGTTGTAAATGAGCAGTTTGGAGACTTTCTTAATAAAAGTTTGTGTGAATTTTGAAGGGTTGGGAGAGTAACTAAAGTGGGCTCTCTCTCTTTCTCTCTCTCTGAGTAAATGAGCAGTTTGGAGACTTTCTTAATAAAAGTGTGTGAATTTTGAAGGGTTGGGAGAGTAACTAAAGTGGGCTGTGTGTGTGTGTGTGTGTGTGTGTGAATCATTTCCCCCTTTATCTAACAGGCCGTTTTGGTGTGAGTAGTTAAGGTCTCTCCTAGAGCAAGGAAATAAGATAGAGTAACATTATAAATTCACCTTTATCAACCTAAAAATTAATCTGTATCACACTTTACATGGGTTATATATGGATCTTATATAATACAAATTAATTTTTATTACACAATTATCCATTTAAAAAATTAAATTCTGGGTGTATAAAGTTGAGTTAGCAAACTTTTATTTAAATAATGTAAAAATATGTATAAAAAATAAGATAAATATATTATTTATATATTTAAATAATGTTAATGTAAATAATAGCTACATTTATTTGTATGTAAATAATAGCTAACTATAGATAACACATTTATATAATAGTGATAGTAGATATTATTATTTTCATAATATATTGACTTTTGTTTTAATATGTTTATATATATAATTGTATAATCAAAGTTTCAATTGTAACTTTAGTCTTATACGCAAGTATGAATTTATAATTTCTTTGGCTCGTTAAAACTCGTGAACATGATCGAGCTTGAGTCCAGTTTAAGCCAACTTAGTATGAGCTTGGTTTGTTAAATTTTTATTGAACTCGAGCTCGGGCCCGAACTCGAACTAGTTAAAATCTTAATAAATAGACCTAAGCATACTAAAGCTCAGGTTGGCTCGGCTGCAACCCTACATACCATTTGTATCGTTCGGATATCAATTTTTGAACAAAATGTAAATGTTCATATATCTACTTCCAAAAAAATACAAATGTTCGGATGTCAACTATCGAATGAGATTTTTGTTCGAAACAATTAATTTTTATTTAGAAGTTGATATCCAAACGATACAAATTATATATACTAAAACAAAGTACGATGTGAATAGAATTACCTAATTTGATTTAAAGTGTAAAGAGTCAATAGTTACAAATTAAAAATAAAATAATTGAAATAATAATTGGGTAAAAATATATAGATGCTTAGTGTAATTAACCCTCAAGAATTGGGCTTGGATATGGAATGAGCATCCACAAGAATTGTAAGATTCACGGATCAAACAATGCTATGAAAAACAAAATCATAGAAATATCTGAAAGCATAACTACAATATATGAATATAATTAAGATGAGCAAGACGAGATACATATATATATATATATATATATTCAAATAGGCAATGCATGAAAAAAAATACATCAATCACCCATCTAAGAAACATATTGTGGACATTGGACAATTCAGGTTGTAATGCAAGGCGATATGCTACAGGACCAATCCTCTCTAGTATCTCGAATGGCTTGATGTAGAGTGGGTTTAACTTTCCTCATTTTCCAAATCGGATAACCCCCCATTCTCGGTGAGATCTTTAGGAAAACATGATCTCCTATTTGAAATTCAAAGTCCCATCTCTGTGTGTCTGCATAGCTTTTATGGTGGCTCTAGGCAGTCTGAATTCGTTGTTAGATGAGTTGAATTTTATCACTCGTTATTTGTACGATTTCAGGGCTCAATAACTTTCTATCTCCGATTTTCGTTGAACAGAGAGGTGATTGACACCTCCTTCCATATAGTGTTTCGTAGGGTGCCATTCTAATGCTTGCTTGGTAATTGTTGTTATTCCACTAAAGGTAAGTGTTCATTCCAGTTACCTTTAAGGTCTAGTACGCATACCCATAACATGTCTTCCAAGGTCTAAATTTTCCTTTCAAATTGTCCATCAGTTTGTGGGTGATAGGCGATACAAAACTTCAGTGTAGTTCCCAAAGCTTCTTGCAATTTGTTCCAGAAGTGAGACACGAATCGAGGGTCTTAGGCAGACACGATTGAAACCGGGGTGCCATGCAATCAAATGATTTCCTTGATGTATAAGGTGGCGAACTTATTGAGAGAGCATGTGACTCTAACTGGTAGAAAATGCGCCGTCTTTGTCAATCGATCGACTATAACCCATATCGCATTGTTCTTCGAGACCGACTGTGGTAGTCCGATAACGAAGTCCATAGTAATGTTTTCCCATTTTCATTTAGAAATGGGAAGCGCTTGTAGTAATCCTATTGGTTTCTGATGTTCCGCCTTAACTTGTTGACATTGCAAGCATTTAGAAACATGGCTTGCTATGTCCTTTTTCGGGTTGGGAGAGTAACTAATGTGGGCTCTCTCTCTCTCTCTCTCTCTCTCTCTGTGACTTGTAAATGAGCAATTTGGAGAACTTCTTAATAAAAGTTTGTGTGAATTTTGAAGGGTTGGGAGAGTAACTAATGTGGGCTCTCTCCCCCTCTCTCTCTCTCTCTCTCTGTGAGTTGTAAATGAGCAATTTGGAGAACTTCTTAATAAAAGTTTGTGTGAATTTTGAAGGGTTGGGAGAGTAACTAATGTGGGCTCTCTCCCCCTCTCTCTCTCTCTCTCTCTGTGAGTTGTAAATGAGCAATTTGGAGAACTTCTTAATAAAAGTTTGTGTGAATTTTGAAGGGTTGGGAGAGTAACTAAAGTGGGCTCTATGTGTGTGTGTATGTGTGAATTATTTCCCCCTTTATCTAACAGGCAGTTTTGGTGTGAGTAGTTAAGGTCTCTCCTAGAGCAAGGAAATAATATAGAAGAATATTATAAATTCACCTTTATCAATTTAAAAATTAATCTGTACCACATGACTCATAGTGATCATTTATCAAAGAATGACTCTAGTTTTAAAATGATTGAACAACCGGGAGCAATTTACTTACGATACTTAGTTGACATTCATAAAAAGTATCTAATGAATTATGAGTTCAATACATCCTGTTTAGCAGAAAGACGGATATCCCTTGCTCATTATCAGACAATCACTTATTCACAAACCTCGTGTGGGGCTAATAGTTTTCATTTCCCATCTCATGAAAAACCCTTTCGCTTTGTTCTCTCTTACTCAGTTGGCTTGGCTGTGAGTTGTAAATGAACAGTTGGAGACTTTCTTAATAAAAGTTTGTGTGAATTTTGAAGGGTTGGGAGAGTAACTAATGTGGGCTCTCTCTCTCTCTGTGACTTGTAAATGAGCAATTTGGAGAACTTCTTAATAAAAGTTTGTGTGAATTTTGAGGGGTTGGGAGAGTAACTAATGTGGGCTCTCTCTCTCTCTCTCTCTCTCTCTCTGTGACTTGTAAATGAGCAATTTGGAGACTTTCTTAATAAAAGTTTGTGTGAATTTTGAAGGGTTGGGAGAGTAACTAAAGTGGGCTCTCTCTCTTTCTCTCTCTCTGAGTAAATGAGCAGTTTGGAGACTTTCTTAATAAAAGTGTGTGAATTTTGAAGGGTTGGGAGAGTAACTAAAGTGGGCTGTGTGTGTGTGTGTGTGTGTGTGTGAATCATTTCCCCCTTTATCTAACAGGCCGTTTTGGTGTGAGTAGTTAAGGTCTCTCCTAGAGCAAGGAAATAAGATAGAGTAACATTATAAATTCACCTTTATCAACCTAAAAATTAATCTGTATCACACTTTACATGGGTTATATATGGATCTTATATAATACAAATTAATTTTTATTACACAATTATCCATTTAAAAAATTAAATTCTGGGTGTATAAAGTTGAGTTAGCAAACTTTTATTTAAATAATGTAAAAATATGTATAAAAAATAAGATAAATATATTATTTATATATTTAAATAATGTTAATGTAAATAATAGCTACATTTATTTGTAAATAAATAATAGTTAACTATAGATAGCACATTTATATAATAGTGATAGTAGATATTATTATTTTGATAATATATTGACTTTTCTTTTAATATATTTATATATATAATTATATAATTAAAATTTCAATTGTAATTTTAGTCTCATATGTAAGTATGAATTTATAATTTCTTTGGCTCGTTAAGACTAGTGAACTTGCTCGAGCTTGAGTCAAGTCTAAACTAACTCGGCTCGTGCTCAGTTCATTAAATTTTTATTGAACTTGAACTCGATCTCGAATTAGTTAAAATCTTAATAAACAGGCCCAAGCATACTAAAGCTCAGGTTGGCTCGGCTGCAACCCTACACATCATTTGTATCGTTTGGATATTAATTTCTGAACAAAATATAAATGTTCATATATCTACTTTCGAAAAAATACAAACTTTCAGATATCAACTATCCGACAAGATTTTTGTTCGAATAATTAATTTTCATTTAGAAGTTGATATTCGAATATTTTATTTCTATTCGGAAGTTGATATTCAAACCACACAAATTATTTATACTAAGATAAAGTACGATGTGAATAGAATGACCCAATTTGATTTAAAGTGTAAAGAGTCAATAGTCACAAATTAAAAGTAAAATAATTGAAATAATAATTGGGTAAAAATATACAGATGCTTAGTGTAATTAACCCTTAAGAATTGGGCTTGGATATGGTATGAGCATCCACAAGAATTGCAAGATTCACGGATCAAACAATGCTATGAAAAACAAAATCATAGAAACATCTGAAAGAATAACTACAATATATGAATATAATTAAAATGAGCAAGACTATATATATATATTCAAATAGGCAATGCATGAAAAAAAATACAACAATCACCCATCTAATCATGATGTATGTGATTTGTAATCTTATTTTTATTTTTATTTTTTGTTGTTGACAAACACATGGCAGAGTTTAGCTTTTTTCCAATTCTTCATCAAATTAGAGAGATTCAGTTCGGCCTACTTCATTTCTCTCCTCTCTCTGCAAAATAATCATTTTACATATTTAAAATCGAGGCACAACCTTGTATGTTGATGTTTGTATGTTTGTTGGAGGAAAAGGAAAAATGAAAAAATAATTTTTAAAAAATTTCTATTTCATTCATTTTTTTCATTATTTTTCTCTTTTCTCACACATCCCTCTCTAATTCCTAGATCCAA